TATGATTTTGATTTATGTTCTCTAAGTAGGTTGATTATTTGTATTTGTTACATGTATGTATTCTTTTAATATTTTTTTTAGCAATGGAAAAGATGATGGATCAGGAAGATGAACATGGATGTTCAGATTGTAAAGGAATCAAGAAGAAATTAAGAGTTAGGTTTATTTTTTTGTTTGGATCTTGAATTTTTAGTTTCTGATTAGATCTTCTTCAAAAATTTGAACTCCAACAGTTCTATGTTTCTATAATAATTTTTGCTAACAGTTTATGTAAGTTTCTATATGTGTCGGTGTGTTTGTATGTTTTTTTTTGTTTTGAGCGTGTCTACACTTGTTTATTTAAGTTTTTAAAAGGTTAGAGTAATAAGTTAACAGATCCAAAGGTCAGAAAGTATTTTGTTTTTGTTTCATTTAAAATGTAACCATTTTTTACCTGGTAAATGTATTTAACGATGAAATAAAAGTTTTATGCTTTGGTTGTTTAAAATAAGTTCAATTGTTTTCATGTATGTAAGGTTGTCGTGCATTTGTATATTAATATTTGGTGTTACAAGTTTCATTTCATGTGTATAACTGTGAAATTTGTATATAAGATGATATTTTGTTGTAAAACAACAATTAATTAAAAATAAAGGTGATTATCAATGAATGAGAAATGAGGATTATTAATATAAAATTTGTGATTATAACTTTTAACAAAGTACATTTGTGAAAAGTGACTGCATAGTTCATCACCTAATAGTGTAGTTTATACAAATGGTGAAAAGTGACTACTCACCTCATACTAACTTCTACAGATGAAAAGCCAGTACCTACAATTAATGGGGACACGAAATCAAACGAAAAGTGAGTGCTTACAATTAATGGGTATGTGACATCAAACATAAACAATCTTGATAAATTAATGTCAAAAGAAAAACAAGATTTTGTAAATAATAATGCAAGTAATAACTTGAATTTAAACATTTAAGAGGTTAGAAATACTAAATGAAAGTGATATTCAAGTTTCTTTACCAATTTTGTTAGATGCCTTTATGACTTCAAAATATAACCCATGATGAAAATATGTACAATTAAAAAACGTCTCCTTAATTTTGTTAGATGTCTTTACGACTTCATTATATAACCCATGATGAGAATTCGTATAATTTTCACTTTTCTTTATATGTGTTGTAAAATGAAAATAAATAAAATAAGACTTCTCTAATCAACAAAAATAAACTTATAAATTTATTGTTGTATTGCATCTCTTTTCAATAACACATTTTCCGAAAGAAAAGAGTATCCGTTCGTTGAATCGAAACTAATCACCAAATGGAGACTGGAAACTAACTACCAATCAAACATATTCATAAACCCCTCATTGAAGACCGCTACATATACTTTTACATTTAATCTAATCATAAAATAAAAACCAGTACAATAGATGATATCAGATAAGAAACTATTATGCCCCACATTTACGTACCTAGCTAGAAAGTAATCGACGAAATGAACTATCTAACACAAAAATTCCACTAAAATGCTAAAACAAACTATCTGACATGAAAAGGAAATTAACCGCCGCATGAAAACTATCTGTCGTATCAAACTATCTCGCGCGCCGCATTGCGCGGGTACCCTACTAGTATATATATATATATATATATATATATATATATATATATATATATATA